AAGTGGTGCATGAACCTAGGAGCGGGACAACGGCCAATCTTGGAACATTCAATTTCCATGATTTTACAAAAAATTTCATAACTTCGACAATTTCCAACCAAATCCCATTAAAGGCTCATTTTCTCCAGTTTTTAATGGACTTTAAGAATAAATTATGGAATGATTTTTTGAATCTTTTTATCCCATTAAAAATGTTGATTAAAACAAGATTTTTATGGAAAATTCGCAGGAAAAATAAAACAAAATGCTGTAAATTTTTAAATGAATTCAAAATTAAATTTTTAATTAAGACATAATATTCTAGTGAACAATAGCAAATTTATTTAGCTTCACTTTCATAAAAAAAATTTAAAAATTGGTGCACTAGTTCCAAAGATATTGACATTTTAGTAATCGTACTTTTGTCCAAAATTCAAAAAATCAAATTTTTTGTATATCTTAAAAATGGCTCTACTTTATTTTTTTCTGACCACGGCATTGAATTCAGAGTAGGATTTTGCATTAGAAACGTTGGTCAACCACTAAAATTCACACTTTTTATGTTGTTTTGTAAACTAGTGTTATCTTTCCACACTCTAAATCTCCCAGACTTGTTCCGTCGGAGAATAACAAGATCTGCCTGAACGGCACAGTGGAGGAATGGTTGAAAGAGGAGGTCTACCTCGGCTTAACACTAGACAGCAAGCTGATTTTCAGAGAGCACGAGCACGTTGACAAAACTAAAACCAAGTGTAACATCTTGATAAGATCACTGTATCCACTCATCATCAGGAGGTCTATCCATAGAGGTAACTCTAAGACCACTGGGTCCCGAAGAAAATCATTATTATTTTTGGCTCACTCAGTACCAGAACAACGGTCCCTAAGAGTCCCAAGCTATTTCACTCACCCCTGCATGTTCTGCATGAATCCACACACCCCTGATGTTATCTGTCAAACTTTCATAGCGAATCAAAACAAACATAGTGTAGTAATAGAATTTCAACTAGAATAGGGTACGTTAATCGTTTGCTTGGGACCAATAGGCTACTAAAGTGGTGAGCCAATTTAAAATCGTTAGTTTCGTATTGATTGTTGGTCTATCCCTGAAAAATAAGCTTGCTGTCTACAAACAAATACCCCTTCCCGTAATAGAATACAGGATGTCAATCTGGGAGAGTTGCTCAAAATGCCATCACCTTAAACTGCAAAGGATCCAGAACCAGATCCTTAGGATGGTCCTTAACAGTCCTCCGCAGACTAGAAATTCTGAGATCCACCTCCTGGCTGGAATTCAGACATTAGAAGAACAGAGAGTATTCATCCTGGAATTCTTATGACGGACTGTGGAGAACGCGGACGACCAGCAAAGGACCACCAGCAGAAGGGAAAGTGGAACTAGCGGACCAACAGAGGGAGCAGCAGATTCGTGGCACCAACCGGTGGCAACTAACGATTTTAAATTGGCTCACTACTTGACTAGTCTATTGGTCCCAAGCAAATCGATTAACGTATCCCATTCTAGTCGAAATTCTAGTACTATATTATGTTTGTTTTGATTTGCTATGAAAGTTTGACAGATAAAATGAGGGGTTCGTGGATTTTCCAATGTTTCGAGGGGTGCATCGATTAGCTTGGGACAGAAGATAGCACCAGAGCTGAGCCAAAAAGTTGAGCACGTTTTTTCGGGACCTTCTAGTCTTAGAGTTACCTCGATGCCTCTATGGTGGCACCGTGACTGAGGCTGGAAACCCGAGCGAAACCTCAGGTTCGTGGAACCGAGACTGGAAACCTCGGTCCAGTCACTACACGTTCGTTATTGCATAATACATGGAAGAACCCCTCATTGAACAGTCAGACGTATGAACAGATTCATCCCTCTTACGGCTTAGCAACACGTCAGCAGTGAGCACTGCGTTCGAGTCCTGTTTCGGTCGCTGCACGGTAAACACATTAATGGGTAGAAAAAATACATGCAGCTGTCAAAAAATGTGTAAATCAGGAGATCTTAAAATGTGTCAAAAAATACCCAATTTTAGAATGTTGTACCAGTCAAAAATCCACCTTTAGCGACTTTCTGGATACTACACACAAACAACAAAAATTGTATCAATAAAAATAATGCATTTTCATATTGAAAGGTTGCCAAAATTCGTAGCATTAACTGCGAAAATATTCAAAATGAAAATAAATTTTTTTGTTTGAAAGTGTTTTTTTCACTTTTGACTTGTAATTTTAAAAGTGCATTTTTTAAAAGGAAAGTTGTTCAACTGTCAATATACCTTTACACATCGATTTGTTTACTAGCAGCACTGAAGTTTCATTAGCCGTTTACTTCGCGCCAAAATGTATTGCGTTCATTTTTGCAGCAGCAGAACCGTCGTTTCTCCCACCCGTTAGAAATTTTACAAAGTCTGGTTGTTGGAAAAGCCACCTCGGATATTGAGTGAGTAATTAATCTTAAAATATCGAAAAACGCTGCTTCAACAGGTTCACAATTATTAAAAAAATACTTTTTTCACAGCCCCATTGATTCGTCTATGCTCCAGTCAATTTTTGAAACAGCCAGCACCGACATTGACATCAAGAACCTCATGTTTTGCTTCCGCCTACAGACATTTTATTTTTTTCATCATTCTGCCTGGCCTCAAGAACGGATGGAGATCAACCGGGAGTAGTGTGGATGCTTTAATATTGGATTCAACAAGCGATCGCGTTAGGTATTCTGTTGGGAAGTTTCAGAACATTAGAGCTTTCCCTGAACTCATGCAAGAGTGAGTGAGGTTTTTTGTCTTGATTTGAGATGCTGAAAATTGATCTTGGTGTTTTTCGTTTTAGGCGTGTGGTTTGTTCGCGTGTGGTCAATTTCTGCGCTAGTAACGTCGCTGATGAATAACGGAAGTAGAACCCAACGTAGGAGACTCTTATCAACCCATACTTATGCCGTGCTGGACATCGATGGAATCAAACTTCAACTGAAGAATCCCTGGTCTCATCTTGGCTGGCGGGGCAGCTGTTCTGAGCTGAATGTGGTAACTATTTCTTGGAATCCGACCCTATTCGACTACACATACAGCATTCATCAGCTGTGGCGTGGAGCCTACGTAAGACGCTTATACACGTGCCGGCATAGAACTGACATAATAAATATATTTTCGCATTTTTAGATTTTTATTTATCAAATAAAGAAAATATTTGGATATAATATTTATTAGAATTGAAAACTAAAAATAATTTTATAATCTTTAAAATACTTATATTTAAATTGAAAATGCTTTTTGTGTGAATCAAAACAGTACATATTATTTCAAATTTACCACATTTTCATGTCAAAAATTTGTTTTGAATTGAAAATAATCCACTTTTAATTTCAATACGCCGTGCGTTTCATTTGACAGTAGTACAATTCATTTAAAAGTTTTAGCTTTTAAAAGTAGTGAACGGAAAACTTTTAATTAGACAATTGGTTGACTTTCGTTTTGAAAGCTAACCACTTTCTACCAAAAAGAACCAACGCAAACTTTTAATTTTACCAATGGTTTTTTTAATTTTATCAACGATTATTTTTTGTGTGTAGGTTCGCCATAGAGCTGCACCAGCTTGTAGTTCATTCTTCTCCTCCATACACCGTTTCCATATACCCCGCTAAAGATGGCCTTCACCACGCGTCGTTCGAAAACTTCCAGTGCTTGAAGGTCCTTCTCGAGCATTGTCCACGTCTTGAACTACCGGTCTTATCAGCGTCTTGTGCATGGTACACTTATTACGGGGTGAAGTTTACCAGACGTCACCCTAATAAACAAATACGATAAACGAACTGTATCCCGCATAGGTAAACTATCCCACAAATGGTTTGGATGATACCCCGAACACGTCGTTAAGCTCTCTTTTATGGTGGGGTCCTTAGTAGTGCTACAGTTGTTATTTGACATCACCGATGATCCGAGGTACACAAATTCATCCACCATCCATCATTCATCCACTCAACAAACATATTTCAGACGTTTCAGCATGGTGTACTGCTTTGCCGCCGCCTGGAAATGTCCGCGTCGTCTGCGAAGCAGATGAACTGGCTGGATTCATTGAAGATCGTTCCTCGCATGTTTAAGCCCGCCCGTTTCGTAAAACCTTCTAGCACAATGTTGATATCAATTAAGACTACGACCGTTGAATTAGTGCGAACCAAACCTGGTATTTTTTTAAATGAGTACTTCGGCATAATCTAGGGAATATTCGGATAATGTAGGTCTTCTTTCTGAAAAAGTAAATAAAATGTAATTCATAGAGTTTTAAAGATTTTTTTTATATTTTTACTATCACACTGTTGATACTTATTTTTGAACTTACTTGTCTTAAAGTTAAATACGTAATTATTTTTTTTTTGCGCTGCTATCTTAACTCATTAATAAATAAAAAACAATCACAATCATAAAAAGAGTCTAACGGGAAGGACTAAAACATTGCTGATACTTGGTTTTCTCATCTTCGTTTTGTTATTCGTTTAAATGCAAGGGTTGAATTTTGCATGTCACATTCCTATCCATGATTAATGGTTGATTATGCACCGTTTCGAGAAACTACTTTGAACGGTATTTCAGGAAAATAGAAAAAAAAAACTGATTCACTGAAAAATTGTTCAAAGTTTAATTTTTTTCAAAAAATATTATTTGTCAAATTTTGTAGAGATTACTCGAAAAAAAAAATATTTCGTTCAAAAAACAAAGTGAAGAAAACTATGATTTCCATTTAATTTTTTCTCAAACATTCCGTTTCGTCAGAAGCAACGTATCACAGGTTGAAACATTATTTCCTAAAACAGGATTTGTAATCCCCTTCTATCGATAGTTGTTTCAGACTTGCCGTCAATTGATTCTTGCCTAGCTCATCAAGTTCCATCGTCAATTTTCGTAGCGTTTCTTTTTTTTAGGAAAAAGAAAAGATCCCTAACTATATTTAGTCACTTTTGTTAAACATTGTTCGCATTGCGGCAGCACATACGCTTTTTGAAATTGTTCGTTTCCGCCTTGTTTGTGGTAGACATTTGGATTCGTAGAAAATTTTGACAAAATTAGGGATTGTAGCTGGGGCTTAAACGCAACTACCAAAACTAAAGATTGTTTGAACAGCATTTTTTGAGTTTTCGTTTTGTTGTTTTTTTTTGTACGGTTTTATGCAATTTGTAGTAGGCCTACTTAGATACTGGTCGCTGAGGCTATGCCTATGACCGATTTTTTTTTGTTCGCGGTAAAACACTACACATCAGCATTTAATAATGGCATTTAGTACATTCTTCAAACTAAGGAACTATGTTTCTGCATTTAATGAATTCACTGTACTTGTAACGATATTTGAAGTAGGTAATTTGAATCGAAATCTAAGGAAACACAATCGAAGGGATTGATGCAATTGATTTTTTTCGTTGCAAAAATATAGTGCTTTATCTAAAAAAAAAATATTAAGAAAACTATTGCATAAAAAATAACATCGACAATACTGAAGTACAGTTTTTTAGGATATTGAGAATCACATAAAAGTATTTTCGAATGACCAGACCTTTTCGTTGTAATCTAACGTAAACAGAAAATGATGATTTTTTGTAGTTATGTTTTTCAATTTTCAATAGATTGAACTAAGCCGCAATTTTTTAAACGTTATTGAATTTTAATAATTGTTTTCCTCGATTATTCTACAATACCTAGCGTTCCTTGCTTGAACAACGACGTTTGATTATTTTTGTTGTTGTAATATCTTGCTCTCAAGTCTGCGCCATCGCACGGTTGAGATCAAGATAACCTAAAACATTGGGTTTGTACGTCATTTTACCTATATATGTAAACGGTTAAACGGTTGTTTCTGCCTTACTCATGCCATTCGAATTTCACAGACCACACTTTCTGAAGCTCTCCGCGATTCGTTAGTCCCGCCCGCAACAATACTCAACTTTACTTTTCACAGAAAAGTAAATGCAACATGGTTTATAACGACGATGACTGATACAATTATTTGAATATGAAACATGTTAAGTTTGTTGTTTGTTGGTTTACTTGCTTATTGAGTATTCTTTACGCTTGGTGGCCTATCGCTAGAGAAAGATAAAGATAGAGAGAGAGATGAAGATCACGTGCGGTCGCAGTTTTAAACAGGCATCGACGATGGCACAAACTCGGCCGCCAGAGGGTTCAAGGTTGACTGCTCAACGCTGACCTTCTGGTCCTTGGTGATCTGCAGGGTCGACAGGGCATTGCACAGTTCCTTTGGACTGGTAAAAAAATAACAATAGTCAAAACATTATTCCACACATCGAAATTCCCACCACTTGTACTGACCTTCCAACTTCCAGCGTTGATTGCCCATTGGATTCCTGTTCCGCGTCCATCTCATCTTGGAGCATTGCCTCGATGCACTGCTCCATGAGAGCTTCCTCTTCCAGTCGTTGCATTTCCTGCTTGTCGAACTCTTCCTCGTTCTCCATCCACATATATTCGGAAAAGTCTTCGTCCAGATTCGGGCCCCCGTTGGAATTGTCCTCGTTCGGAGGGGTTATGTAACCGTCGGGGTCCGAGTCGTAGCTGTCGCTGTAGTTACCGCTGTAACCGTTGTTCGAGCTACTACATCCAATGTTGTGATCGGGCATCTTCATTGTTGTTATACCTTTACTAAGCGGCTGTGAATGGCTAGAAGAGAGGTTTGCATGAGTTTTTGAACAAGGCAACACTGTTTACGATAGGATATTGCCCTCGTATTCGAAGTCCGAGGTCGTGACGAGTGAGTTGTGATGTGAACAATTGTTTTGCCAACCACAAGTTGACATCGGTTTTAGCAAATTTGGGCAATACAGAGTGCTGAGCTTATGTGTGTCCAGTCATTTGACCGAATACTCGAGAAGAATTCATCGAATTTCGAATAATACTAGATTTTAAGGCTGTGAACCATTTGCCGAGTTAAATTTAACTCGTGGTTAAAAGTGACATTTCGAAAGTTATTTTTGATGTTCGAAAATCCCTGTGCTGTCGATCGACCGGTTTTCGAGAAGAACTCAGCCACGGTTGTCAACATTTAACTTCGTGTCTGTCAGAAATAACCCCGCTCGGATAGCAGGGTTAATCGATAACTTTCCATCTGTCAAATTTTAACCAAAAGTTAAAATAATCCACCAAATGGTTCAGAGCCTAAATAAGTTAATTAGGCTGTGAACCATTTGCCGAGTTAAATTTAACTCGTGGATAAAAGTGACATTTCGAAAGTTATTTTCTATGTTCAAAAATCCCTGTGTTACCGACCGCTCGATTTTCGAGCAGAACTCAGCCACGATTGTCAAAATTTAACTTCTTGTCTGCACTAGCGTGCACAGTAATCTTGTTAAGGAGGGGCAATTTTTTTCTATGGTGCATTTAATCTGGGGATGGGGAGTACTCCAAAGTACGTGGTAGATGGTGCTGTCCTCCTCCCACTTTTCCCTACTGTTCGATTTAGTTAATTTTATTTATTTTTTGCTCTGGTGGTGGTTCATCTTCTTTACATTATATTGTGCAACGACGTAATCATGTCATTTTTAATACGGTTACTTGTATATTAGCAATTTTTCGCACCTTCCGCCAAGTGTTTTTTCAGCACAGGATCGTAGTTAGCCACCAACTGGGTGGCACACTTTCCGCTCCTTCCGACTGTCCACAAAGTGGTCGGCTACCTTTACAAAGTATGGGCACAATATCGATAAAATGTTCCATTATATAGCGGTTTTGTAGCTGCTACTAGCAGCAATCATAGCTGTTTTTGGTGGTCCAGTTCTTCGTCGATACACTTCCTGGTTTTGAAATTCTTCGACGCTTCCATACTACCAACATGGGTATCACCATAGAGGTAACTCTAAGACTAGTAGGTCCCGAAGAAAATCATTATTATTTTTGGCTCACTCAGTACCAGAACAACGGTCCCAAGCAGTCCCAAGCTATTTCACTCACCCCTGCATGTTCTGCATGAATCCACACACCCCTGATGTTATCTGTCAAACTTTCATAGCGAATCAAAACAAACATAGTGTAGTAATAGAATTTCAACTAGAATAGGGTACGTTAATCGTTTGCTTGGGACCAATAGGCTACTAAAGTGGTGAGCCAATTTAAAATCGTTAGTTTCGTATTGATTGTTGGTATCACTGCGATTGTGTTTACCCAGCAACTCGGTCGATTTCTTCCAAATTACTGAACCCTGTAGGAATCGTTGTAATAATGTTTTGCGTCATGCTCTTCTTTACACGTTAAAAATACAAATCAAAGAAAATATATTCTTCAAGGTACTGGTATCATCTTTTATTCAGTTACCTTTCTGAAATGTTGTGCAGTACGTTTTTGTATATTTTGAAGGTATCGTTACAATTTTTGACTATTTCAAGTAAGTATTTTTGTAAGCCCTTATATGCTGTTATAGTCACTTTACTGTTACCGTTGCAAGTACGTTGAACGTGGTCATTTTCAGCGAAAATTGTAGTTTTAATTTTTTTCAAATTTTGATCTAAATGCCAGGGGTAATAGGATCATTAAAAGGTTTAAAAAATATATAACGATTGGACCAAAGGCGCACAAAACTATTTTGATAAACGAGTACAGGATTGTTAACGGAATGACGACTTGTGCGAAGGATTGAGCATGTCAACCACGGTAACAAATGACTTGAAATTTTCAGAGAAGATTCTTAGACAAATTCCTAGTAAGACAACAATCGACCAAGGTTCAATGGCAAACTTATACCTAATTTTCAATTAGGGAATTCAAAAGCTGTCTTTAAACTTTGTACAGTTGCGAAAAAGTCAATCCTCAGAATTCCTTAGGTTCTTTTAGAAATTTTTAGAACTCTATGAGCTCTTTTGGAATTCTTCTCAGAAGTCCTCTGGAATTATTTTGAGAATACTTCTTGACTTTTACTCAGCACACCTTGGAACTTAAATTCCCTTAGAGTTTCAGAAGAATTTCCTCAGTATTATCTAGACATTATTCCCGGAATGATCTAGAAATTATTGGTACTCCCTTGAAATTTTCCTCAAAAACCCTTTGGAATTTCACTCAAAATTTAATTTTCTCGGTATTCTTTTCGGAATTATCTTGGAACTATCTGCAGGATTCACTAGAAATTATTCGCAGACATTTATTGGAATACTCCCCAGAAATATTTTGGACAGTCCTCAGAATTCAATATCCTTGAGGATCTTCTCGAAGTTTTTAGAACTCTCCGAAGAGCTCTTTTGAAATTCTTCTTAGAATAATTCCACTGGAATTATATTTACAATTCATCATGGTTTTTTTTTTCTCAGAACATCTTGGAACTGAAATTCCTTTAATGTTTCAGAAATTATTCCCGGAATGAGCTAGAAATTATCCTCGGAATTCGATTGAAATTTTGCCTAAAATCCCTTTGGAAGTTCATTCAAAATTAGATTTTCTCGGTATTCTTTTAGAAATTATCTTGGAACTATCTGCAGGATGCACTAGAAATTATCCGCAGAATTTAATTTGTAATATCTCCAGAACTATTTTGGAACTGTCCTTAGAATTCAATAGGACATGAGGTTCTTCTCGGAATATTCTAGAACTTTTTTTCTTAGAATCTTGGAAATGAAATTCCCCTAATGTTTCAGAAGAATTTCCTCTGTATTCTCCAGAAATTCTTCCCAAAATGAACTTGAAACTATCTCCGGAATTTCCTTGAAAATTTCCCCAATATCCCTTTGGAATTTCATTCAAAATTTGATTCTCTCGATATTATTTTTGAAATTATCTTGCAACTATCTGCAGGATTCACTAGAAATTATTCGCAGAATTTTCATGGAATCATCCCCAGAAATCTTTCCTTTTGGAACTACTCTTCAGAATTCAATACCCTTGAGGTTCTTCTCGGAAGTCTAGTTTAAGTTGTCCGTCCATTCACCAAAACATTATAGTTTTTCTACCAGAAATGTTCAATAAAGCCTGCCCCTCCATTCACCAGAACTGTGCAATTTTTACATCAGGAATTTTCAATTCAGCTAGCCCCTTCATGCAGCAGATTGAATTTAACACCAGAAAATTGTACACCAGAAACTTTTACACCAGGAAATTTCCATTGACCAAAACGATGCAAATAATTCACCGTTAATGTTCAAAAAAAAATGTTCTCCAATCTTCTGATTGGTGCAAATTTCCTATTTCCATTTTCCACCAGACATTTTCAATATCTAGCTTACTTTTCCTATCATCACAATGTTGCAGGTTTTCCACCAAATAAAACTTGTCCCTATTTTCAGATTTTCAGCATAAATTTTCAGTAAAGCAGCTTCCCTCCAATCATAAGAATGGAGCAAATTTTACACCAGAAATTATAATTAAACTTTGTTCCTCTATTGAGCAAAAGGATGCAAATTTGAGACCAAACATTTTCCGAAAAGCTTGCCCATTCGTTCACCAGAATGGTGCAGATTTTGCTCCAGAAGTTTTCAATATAGCTTAATTTATATGAAGCTTGTGCCTTCATTTACCAGACCAGTGCAAGTTTTCCACCAGAAATTTTCTGTTAATTTCGTTTATCAGAGCGATACAAATTTTGCACCAGAAATTTTCAATAAAGCATTCACCTCCATTCACCAGAATGGTGCACCAACAATTGTCAGAAGTTTGTTTTACCATGCACTTTTGTGGTGCAATTCTCAGAATGGTGCAAATTTTCCACCATAAATTTTCAATGAAGCTTGCATTCATAAGAACGTTGCAAATTATGCACCCGAAAAATGAATAAACCTTGCTTCTACATTCATCACAGTATTGCGAACGTTCCACAAGAAATATTCAGTTGAATGTGCACCTCCAAATTTTTAGCGTGATTCAATTTTTCCACCAGGGTTATACATTTTGATTAGTCCCTCCATGATTGATGATATTTTTACACCAGATATTCAATAAAAAGCTTTCTCTTCGATTTACCACCACGAAGGTAAATTTTTTCAACCTTAAATTAACCCTCTTCTTTTATTCCTCCATGAACCACCTTGAAAAAAAAAATTACATCAGAATTTTTTTGTATGCACCACTGTGGTGCAATTTTTTGACCAAAAAATTTCATTGAAATTTGTCCCTTTATGCACCTTTGTGGTGCAATTTTCAGACACCATCTCAAAGGAATTGACGCAATAAAAGATTTACAGTGCCCTTATAGTATGAAATGAAGTTATTTTACCTTCAAATCAAGTTATCAAGAAAACAAGTTATTTTATATCGTAATTTGGAAATGTGGAAATAAACATCTTATTTATAAAAGGAGGAGCAATTGCCCCACCTTGCCCCACCCTGTGCACGCCAGTGCTTGTCTGTCAGAAATAACCACGCTCGAATAGCAGGGTTAATCAATAACTTTCCATCTGTAAAATTTTAACCAAAAGTTAAAAAAATCCACCAAATGGTTCAGAGCTTTAATCGACTACCCACATTAGATCCGGATCTGACGCGTCAAATTTACGTCCAAGCAACGCAAACGAATCTAATATGGGTGACCCTTTGGAGATTTCTGCTTTATGCTTCCCACTCTTCGTCTCAAGCTCAAGGCAGTGGAATTCAATTAAAAGGCGTTCTCAGGCAAAACAATTAAAAGTACTTCTTCAGGATCCTTGACTTTTCACAATTAAGGCTGTGTTCCATTTGGTGAATTTTCA